AATTAAATAAAAAGACATTCTGGTGGCGATCCATTAGGCTAGAATGACTTCTTGATCTACGATTATACTGCGAAACGAGCTGGCTCCTGCTGGATAAAAGGGATTTCCTGTTCAGACCTGTGTAATCCTTCAAAGAAAAACTCCTCTTACAGAGATCTACCGTCACACTCCCCGAAGATTGCTTCTCGATTACAGTTCTGTTTGCTGCAGCCAAGCGCCTCTCTGATCCCAGTTCACTGTGGGTGGCTACTGTGCTGGGAGGAAGTGATGTGATCAAAGCATGGGCTCACGGAGGTGCAGGGCCATTGATTCGAGCCAGCGGCTCCTGCAAGGCTTCACACTGTTGGTGGGATGTCAAACATTTATTTGTGAGTAATTATAGTTACCCAAGGGGATGCACATTTGGTGGGAAAGAATAGAGGCAACAGGCAGGCAGCCACGAGAGACTAAGAATGTGCTGGAGTCAGAGAGGAGAAGGATGAAGAAGGAAGCAAACCTTGAAGGAACTCACTCAATGAGCCCCACTGGGGTGGTTTTGAGGATGGAGATGGACCTTTTAGGTGAAGCCAGTAGCCCAGTAAAACTTCCCAGCTGAGACGCAGGAGGTGCCTTTAATAGACAGCTAGAAACCTGGCAAGACGACAAAACACTTCTTTTTCTTAGCAAATCATAACACTAGTCAAGGCTGAGGTGGTATCTTTGGCAAATGTCTATGCTTTCTGCCAACACCAATACTGTCAGCAAACTGGGCTAAGTGAAGGTGAAAGGATTTCCTCAAGTGGAGAGGAGTAGGAGATGGGAGCCATGTCTCTCATTTTTCAATAAAGAGGGAAAATGAAAGCAGCCCGCATGCTGGTATGGTTTGAATAACGTTTGACCTTACTAAAATTCATGTTGAAAGATTGTTCCCAATGTAATGGCATGAGAGGTGGGGGAGCCTCTAAGAGGGATTTGGATTATGAGGGCAATCACTCCTGATTCTGTACAAGTCAGCTAGTGCAGGTCCTTTAGGCCTCTGTCATGGAGGGCTCACGTGACACACTTTTAAGCATAACTGTAGGAAACAGAACGACACCAAAAACCTAAGGCTATTGTTCTTTAGGGAAAGGCATTACCTGTTCTAATTCATAAAATGTGAATTGATGAACTGTGCGTACAGCTCACTGTGTTTATAATGCATTAATAGTCACGCAAAAACACTCCATGGGGGCTTCTATGAAACACCCATTTGTCAAAAGCAAGCACACAAGGAAATTAGATGAAGTGTCTGAGGACTCTTAGCTAGCTTTCAAAACGTTGGCAAGCGTCAGGAATGTTCATTGAAAGAAATGGTCCTTCCAAGTGAATTGATGATGATGGAGAACTCTTTTCTATTTGAGGGAGGAAGCAAATGACACCACTCCAATTTCCTGACTATGGATGGGCAATTCCTTCCCACTGCAGTTTGGTTAAGAGCCAAAGGAAAATGGAAAAATCTGTACTGAATGAACCTGATGCCCCAAAACACAACCCAGAAAGGTAATTTCTCTTGGTTTTCCCACAGGAAGGACTGCCAGGGAAATTGAGCTGTTAGGTTTGGGCTTCTTCATTACTTCGGATGTGCCGGATAGATAGCAGCATGTTTGGAGATGAGCACTGGGAATGTTAAAAGTGATGGGAAGCAAACCAATAGGAACTTCACGAGGAGCAATTTGTCCGTATGTGTCTGTTTAGATTCGCTTTCTAAGGCTTCAAGTTTTGAGATGATTGAGATATAGATTCTATCATTGTGTTTAGTTTCAGTGACCCACTACCTGCTGATTTAGAAGACACCGAAAAGAGGCGTCCTGAAGCTAGAGAGTAGAGACCCTGGGGCAGGCGGCTCAAAGCAGCTCCTGCCTCTGCAGAGCTGTTTCCAAGCCTGATCTCCAGCCCTAAGCCCAGGGGGCTGATTCCATAGCTTGAGGGTAGATCCAGGCTCTCCATTTCTAGGCAAGGAGAGCTACACTCCTAATGGAGATTGTGTAGTATAGACCACAGTGAATCGCTGAGGGAGTTACATTTGTTCTCTGTGAGGGTGGGCGATGGCTGAAGAAACCCAGAACTGAGCCTGAGAGATTTAAGTTCCTGCTGGGAGAAGGACAGTTTGGAGACTCAGGTTAACCAGCAGATGGATGTTTTCATGCTGTGTAGTGCTGCCCTCATGCAAGCCTTTTGATTTAGTCATATAGTTCTGAGTTCAACTCCAGACATGGACGAGCAGATGTTTGTGATAGATGATTTCTACTGACAGCTGGAGTATTTTCCCATTCCACATTGGATCACAAAGCCCTGCCTAACAAAAATAGGCGGGACTGGAGAGGAAGTCCTGATATTATCAAGGAGGTTCCCTTAAAGTAAGGAACAAGAAGCATATTTGGCCACTAACTTTAACGATGAAGTTTTCAGTTAGGGAATTTCAAAGAGAAATGTTTATAAGTTTTTAAAAAAGGTAAGACCAATTTAAAAAAAGTTAGTGAATGAAGAAGGTCTTTAAAGAAGCAAAAGCATTTTAATTGTTTAAAATTATTTATAAGTCTTACACCAACTATGGTTACCTGTCCTGGGCCCATACAAGACCAGCACCGTCCACAATAAATCCAGAAATGAGGTTGGCTCATGGCCCTCCTGTATGTCCTTGTGTACCCACTACCCACCAGGCCCGGTGGCTCTCACCAAACACATGGTCATACAGACATGCCTGGTTAATCTCATGGCTCACAAACAAAAAGATTTTCCATGAATCATGAATGAGAGAGAGAGAGACAGAGAGAGAGAGAGAGAGAGAGAGAGAGAGAGAGAGAGAGAGAGATGTAGAGAGAACTGTACAGGAGAGTGGGGGAGTTGACAGGGTATGGTTGGGAGGTGGGGATGGGGTGGTTAGCATGCATTACTTAGGTGTGGAAAATTGTTTAAAAACATTTGGAATTTAAAAACAACGCAGCATTAGGGAGTGTGAGGCTGGCTGAGCCCAGGTCTTTTCCTACTGCATTCCTGGAATCGAGGTGGGCCAGGGACACTTAAGCAGCTGCCCCTTAGCATGTGAAATAAGAATGTGCCTGACTCTGCTTGTGTGAACACTTTTTATTTTCTGAGTGGGACGGGTGGGGACCGTGTAAAGACAAGATCTTCCCATTGACAGCTACCATTGTTTCTAAACCTGCCTCTGAGACACACAGCATTTTAAAAAAGCAAAATTCCTTTCACAGTTCAGCCACCTTCCACTGTGAAGGGCCGAGGTTTCTTTTCATCATGTGACGAAAGACAGCACATTTACTCTTTCCTTCACCCCGACGCCCAGAGCACCCTGAGTTAAGCTTTCTCTTCCAGTCTGAGCACACTCCTTGAACGTGTTTCCCAGACAGTCGTTTGCCTTTGGCATCTTGGAGCTTAGCTTGTAAGCCTTTGTCTATTTTTAGTTTCAGTTAGTTAGGACATAGAATACAGAATATGAAAAATATAGAGTAATGGGCCAAGAGGACAAAGTAGAGCTCCAGTCAGGATGCTTTTCTTGAAGGGTGATGTGTCACGGTAAGGAGCACAGGCTTCGAAAAGAACCTGCTAGAATGCGGAGCCCATCCATAGTGGCAGGTTGACCCCGGCTGAGCCCCAGCCTCCCTGGTGCCAGGTTTTACCAGCAATGGCTTCGGCAACTCTCTAGTCTTTCAGGGTTTATCAGGATCACTACGCACTTTGAATGCTGTGGTCTGAACAATGCTGTGCTGGCTGCAAACATCCAGTAAGCATGAACTATTTTAATTAGAAACAGTGGTGATGAAATTGTGCCAGTCAATCAGGCAATTAAGTTTAGGGGGGATTCCATCCTGGGCTGTGCTTTTGGGCATAGGGAGGCCTGTCTTCAAAGTGGCGGTGGGAAGCTATGCTTCCGCTGAATGGATGTTGACGAGGAGGCCCTTCTGTGACCACAGTGTGGCCGGTGTGTAACCCTGAGTTGAGGGGACAGGAGAGCAACAGAAATGTGCATTCTGGTGGGGCAGACCCTGTTCTCGGGGTAACTGGTTGTTAGGGACAAGCATTTGGCAGACATACTGGAGAATCACAGTTTCCTGAACAACAGTTAATGAAAGTGCTCTGTACTCACAGAGCGCCTCAGACAGTAAGAGACTGCGAAGGTTGGTGAATTGGTAATAAAGGCTCTGAAGCCACACACTCTTTCTAGTGCTGGCTACTCCTGTGCCCACATGGTAGCTCTGAGTGGTACCAGAGAAAATCCTGGTGCTGAGCATGATAGATTTAATTTCCAGCTCGGGGAGTGCACCTTGGAGGCTTCTTTTGCAATCTGATAGAAAGTGTACGTGGCTATATGCAATTCTTCTCATTTCTATGTGCTGTTACCCCGAGGCAGTTCTGGTTTATTCCCCAAGTCCTGAGAAACACTGCAGGTATGGATGAACAGACATTGTTCGTGATGGATGGATGGACTGCTTGAGGTAAACTAACAGTGCCTGCACTGGCCAAAGCAAGTCTTCGGAAGAGCTTGTGGAACGCTAAATAGGGCTCTGATCCTCAAGCTTCCCCTCAGAAACAAGTCGTATATGTACATCCATGCATTTAAGAATCTTTTTTTAATGGCAACGTGTTATGGGCTTTGGGGGACAGCAAAGTGGAAGGGTGAGCGGGCAGCCGGAGCTCTGTGGGTAAGAACTGGCTTGCTCAGGAGGTCTCTGGAGGCAGACTTCTTTTACCCTTGGGGACCTCAGTCTGTTTGTCTCCTAAGGCCTCCACTGATGGCCGAGGCTCATGTTACGGAGGTTAATGTGTGTAACTCAGTCTATTGACTTAAATGTTACCTGTGTCTAATACCTTCACAGTGATATTTGCACTACTGTTGAGCAAATATTTGAAGTTCAGAGAAGCCTCTCAAAGGAATTCGGGGTGGGTGTGGGTGACGTGGAGGTAGGGTGGGGTGGTGAAAGCGATTTCTGAAGAACCCAAGAGTTAGTCCCAGGAGCCCTAGAAAGTTTGTGTCTCTAGAGACCCTGTGAAGGCAGTGGCCTGGGGACAGCTCCCTCCTGGACAGGCCTGGTAAGCACCGCCACTCAGTGACCTGGTGACTGGTGACCAGTGCGGTAAGTGACGGGGACATGGGAAGAGATGTGGGAAGTGTGAGTTTCCCATGGGCCTAAGTATGGAGTATTGAGACAAACTGTTCTGAAAAATAGTCCATTTCCAGGCATTTTTTTTTTTTTTTAAAGCTTGGGGGAAATTTTATTAGAGTTTTAAAACAGAAATCCCAGGGCAGACAAGCTATAAATCTTGACAGCTGTCTGGAGAAGGGAGATGGAGAAAGGCCCGCCATTGAGTTAAGCAGGAGTGGAGGTCAGCCCCATAGCAGACAAATGGCCACATGGTGGGGAGGGGACCTTAAGAGAAAGCGATGAAAACCCCCAAGTGTAAGCGAAAGCATTCTTATCAGTAGGGATGGACCCCAGGGCCCTATGTGCTGGTCACGTGCAGCAGCTCTGAGCAACGGCTCTGAGCAACAGCTCTAGCCCTCCATTTTCAGTCACCTTGATGGGACCCCTAAGGATGCTGCCAGCAAGTGGAAAAGGGGTGAACAGCAGGGTAAAGTCCCAATGAAGACAATAGAGAACATAGCTTTTGCCAAAATGGAGACTTCCATGGAGGGCCTCTTCACAATAAACTCCTTCATCTGTCAGCAGACGGCATGAGTTCAAAGGGACAGGTGATTAGCTAAGACTTAAGTATCTGCTCCTTTCTCTCTGCCGTCCTCCCCTCTCTTTGATCTGAATGCCGAGGATGCAGTACCGGGAGTCAGCAGCCCAGGAACCAGGTGAAGGAATACTACAGAGGCTAGCCTAAGAACTGACCAGGCCTGTTCACTAGGGCAGAGCTGAGAGCCTGAGCCCAGGAGAGACAGGCTTTGAAGCAAAGTCCAGATGTGCCTGGACTTTCTGACACGTGGAAGCAGGTGGTGGCAGGATTTCTCCGACAGAGATGCCGGGGTGGAGAAGGGCCCAGTAAAGCGTGTTTACAGTTAATGATGCAAACCCGCTCCTATTCCTTACATGTCCTCATCTGAGTTACCCTTTTCAGCAGGACGGTTAAACAAATTTAACAAGAGAGAGCCCTTTGAGTTCCGTAAGCGCACCACCCGGACAGTCGTGCACAAACTTTACCTCTGTGTACAGAGCCCAGGAGAAGGAGGAGGGGCCTGAGAGCTAATGAAGGCCTCACTGGAGGAGTACAAGCCACTTTCTATGATGTTTTGAGAAAACGAGCACACCACGGCAGACACAGCACTCAGATCCACAGGCCCCCGCTGTGATTGCTCCGGGGTTAACTTCCAGGTTGAAGAAAAATGGATTTGTGATGATCGCAGAACCCTCAATACCAGCACTCTGACTAGCATATAGTTGTTAACTTTTTAAAAGGGAGACTCTTCCCCCTATAGTATCCTGATTTGTGAATATTCTCAATATTCCTATTTCTGCTAAACAGCTTGTGTGTGTCAAAAACTGGTTTGTATTTAGCATCTCTACCAACCCTGCCAGCTCTGAAGTCATTCAGCTATTTCCCTTGCAATGTGTTTGCTCCCCCTCTCAAAACTTCTCCTTTAATCATATGAAAGTAAGGCAGAGAAAAAGGAAAATATTGGTAAAGAGACATCTCCGAATGAAGGCAGATACTGACCCAACAACAATGAGAAGAGGTCGTGCACGGAGTCGTGTACCATGGAAGGGCAGACAGTGGTTGGTGGATTGGAGCTGCAAAGGCCTCCCTGGCTCACAGCATGCTTTCCCCTCTCATGTCATCCTTATTTCATATTTTATCTTTTTATCAGCGGATGTTTGAAAGAAATAATACTCAGGTTTGAAGGAATATTCTTTTCATAGTTCCTTCCCAAAGTAATGAATTAATTTTCAAAATGCAGCAAGTAAAGCATTCTGTCTGCTTAAAGAGACAAAGGGATCACGTTAGTTCAAAGTAGCTCTGACCTGACCTGTATGGAGACATAAGACCTGACACAGGAGCTAGATGTTGGCTAAAAGGAGCTTACAAAGTCCTGATTATGTTAGAAGCTATGAAGAGTGTAGACAAAGGGACCCCCAGGCACCTCCAGACCCATGCTAGCGGGGTCCTAGCTGCTTTTCAGAGTTCAGCTAGTTAGTAAAGTTGGAAAGAGAAACTGAAATGCAGTGGGCCCTTCTATGATCCCCAGAGGCCATCTTACTCTGGTTCCCACTTCCTCTCAGTGTCTGCTTATATGCTGCCATTATTTTCTCTGGGAATTTGTAAGTTATACCTCTGTTGGAAGATTTTTCTCTATTGTTTAACAAAGTTCAGATGTTTATTTTCTTATATATAGTCCAAGAGATAATGAAAGACTTTGATTTAAAAAAATAAAGATGGCTGAAATCCCTGGAGAATGGCTTCTAAAATTTTGCTTTATGGCTGACAGCTTCCTTTGTAAAGTTTCTGATAGGAGAAATGCTGTGACAAAACCCCAGGACAATGATGACTACTCATGGCATCAAAGATAGTTTTTCCTGAATCCCATTTTAGTTGATTACAGTCAAAGTCAGAATTCTTTTCCCAGGATATTTGCTTCTAGTCTGAAGTGGCTTTTGTTTTCTCAGAAACAAGATCAACATTTTCTGCCAGGCCTTCTCACTGCCATGTTTCTGTGGGTTGCAGCCAATGGTTCTAGAATGGGAAACCAGTGCCCGGCTGGTCAGTCAGCTGTCTGCTTGAGAACTGCTGCAGATACTCTCATGACAAAGTGAGATTGGGGTCAGGGTGACGTGGATAAGGCCACAGGTCCACAGTCAGTCCAGAGCAAAAGAGCGGTTGGCTTTTGGTCCTTGAAGGCCCTGCAAGAGTGAGACCAGCTCATGTCGTTTTAAGAAGACTAGAAGTAGCTAGGTGTATTCGCACACACCTTTGATCCCGGCACTTGGGAGCCAGAGACAGGCAGAACTCTGTGTGAGTTCAAGGCCAGGCTGGTCTATATAGTGAGACTCTTTCTCAAAAACAATAAACAAACAAACAAACAAACAAACAAAAACCAAACAAAAACAAAACAAAACAAAAAAAGACTGTAGGTGTCAGACAGCTGTGCCTGGTGGACACAATCAGACAGTGCCAAGTTCGTTAAGCTGTCGGCTACTGAGGTGCTTGCTGAGCGTCCAGCAGAACACACAGCCTGAGCTGTACAGAGTTGACACCGAGGTTCAGGGTTCAGGGTTCAGAGGAACACAGCTGGTTGTCCCCACTCCCTTCTCTTCACCTCCTCCTGAATAAATTGTAATGAATAATTAATAAAAAATCAAAACAACCAAAAAGAAACCTATCTGAATGTTTAAGACAGTCTTAATGGCTCTAATCCACGGTCCCCAACTGGGAAAAGGGAACTCTGTCTTCCAGAAGATATTTTTAGTTGTCAGAACCCATTGTGGTAGTGGAGGGGCTGCCATTGGTCCCTGGCGAGAGCGAGCAGAAGACTCAGTCATTCTGAGGGGCAAGGCACAGCCCTGTCAACAAGGAGCATTCGGCTCAGGAGGTGAACAGAGAGGGACTGTGAAACTCTGACCTCAGCTGTCTGCTTACAGCTTAGCTGTGCCCCAGGTTTTCGACGGGAATTTATCAGACCCATGTGGCTCGGCTTCCTCATTCCCTAATGTTCAGATTTTTGGGTCTGTCTGCCATTCTGTCGGTGGGAGCTCGTAGCCGGAACCATGCACACGGCTTACCCATTCATGCGCCTTCCCCAAACATTACTTTCTTTGCGTTTCTCCCGCCACTAAACTACTTTCCCGGAAATCTCATTTTCATGGTAAAGTTTTCACTCCAACGTGAATGAATGAGATGATTGTCAGCTTTATTTTAAGCCTTTGTTGATATCTCATCCTTTTCACTTCTGACCACTCCTAAAATCATCTTCCTGGCCCGAAATACACACGCATCTTGGGCACATGCAGCTGGAGACACACTCATGTTCGCTGTGCTTGTGACCGCGGATGTTCTAGTTCCTTCAGTTCCTGCTGCCCCGACTTCTCTTCAGAGACAGACTGTAACCTGGATGTGTGAGCCAAAAACAAACCCTCTCTCCCCTTAGTTGCTTCTGTCTTTTTTTCCTTTGTTTCTCCTTCCTTCCTTCCTTCCTTCCTTCCTTCCTTCCTTCCTTCCTTCCTTCCTTCCTTCCTTCCTTCCTTCTTTCCTCCGCTGTACGGCAGCCCCACCCCTCTCCTCTCTAGGGGATGCCTGAGCGCATGGGAAAGCCGACCTCTATCTGTGTTGCCTTTTCACGTGCTTACATGCCTACGATAATGTTTGAGTTGTAAAGCAGGCACAGCAGTGGAGTAACAGTCAGATAAGACAGCTGTGACGATATTCTGTAGTTAAAGTTACAGGAATGTGGCCTACTTTGCCAAACAACTACTAATATTTTTCACCTGTGGTTGACTGTAGGTCAAATCCTCAGAGTTGTGGACAAGTTGGAGTTACAAGTGGGAGTTATTGTATCTTATTGCTGCTCTCATTGTGTTTTTTTAAATTTGTTTTTGTTTTTTGAGACAAGGTTTCTTGGCTGTCCTGGATTTGATTTGTGGACCATGCTAACCTCGAACTCACAAAGATTCACCTACCTCTGCCTCCCTGAGTCCTGGGATTATAGGTGTGCTCTAGTTGTGTGTGTGTCTTTTTCTGCTAGTGGCAACTCATGGATGCAGTTTGTGACTGAATAAGTAACAGTAGTTAAAATGTTCTCATTGTACTCAGAGTTGGAATAGTAAACACCTCCAAACTATGCACTGGAAAAATAAACAGAAACAAATCAGCAATGCTTGCAGTTCAGGCTCTGCTTCCCTTCATAGCACAGTCTGTCGGTGATCCTAACCAGCTGATCCTGAGAAGTGAGGCAGGAACAGCTGGGACCGGACGAGGCCTCAGGTGGCTGTGAGCGAGGACTCTCAGGAGACAGGTTTCAGTGAGTCTACTTGAATGCGGGAAACAAAGGCTACTTAAACCTTTCGGGGTGGTTAAAGGCTTTTGGCATGAGTGTACATCATTGGCTGGGGCCAGGACTGGCAATGTCTCATTTGCATAAGGAGGAATGCCAGGTGCTGCTGGATTTTGCCTTATAAGGGGAGAGGAAGTTGAACCTGGCTCCCGGCCACGTGAGTCTCCCCCAGTCCCACAGCTGACCCGAGTTCCATGGCTCCCGGCCCCACAGATGCCGACACAGAGTTTGATTTTAATTAACTGCAAGAGCAGACCTATCCACTAAGTTCCGCAAAATCATCTTACTCAAATATGAGAGAGGACATGCTGCTGGCTCAGAGTTCAGGCAGTCACGGCACAGACACCATTTCTCCTTCCTTTCAGAAGCGCCTTCCAACTAATGAGATGTCGTATGCATGGAACCTGAATATGTACCAACAGCTTTTGAAATGCTCATCAAAGCCATTCCTAAAGATTTTCTTCGGATGACCAGTAAAATTTACAGCGTGTGATTTAAACTGAATTGAACAGCACCTCTAAGGTCTCTTCTGGTTCTAAGCGTTGGTGGCTTAGGACACAGTGACACAGATAATCTGTCTAAAGCCGTGACACCCAGGTGACGCCTCTCAGCAAGCCAGAACCTCTGGAGGAGGACCCCAACAGGTCTGGGAATGTTCAGATGAAGCTCAGTGCCCAAGACTTGCTGTGGGTGTTTCAAAGATGACTCTCTCTCAGAGAAAATCTTATACCACGTCCTCACACGCGCATTTAGCTTAATATTTCCGTAAAGATATCTCATGGGATCTGTCTGTCTCCCTCCTTCCATCCTTTCATCCCTCTTTCCCTTCCTCCAACCCTGACCCCACATTTAAATTCATGACCCACAATATTGAAAAAGCACTGTACCACAGGGTATGTTCTATATTTTGGCCACTAGATGGAGGCATCGCATTTGAAGAATGAAAGTGCAGGCCAGGTTTTGGATTTGATGAAACTCAAAGTGCATCTTACTTACTGTTAATTTTATGTCCAGACAAAGAGCCACTTGTGTCACAAGGAAAACCGCATGGCTTTTGGAAAGGAGAGAATTTTGGGAACAGCAGCGAGCCACTGTCTGGGCTGGTTCTCCTCCGACTCACACACGAGGTAGGCACCAGATCCCTTTTCTGTCTGAGGAAACTGAGGCCCAGGAAGCTTGAGTAATGTGTAAAGCACCCATAAAAGGACAGATGTTGTCACTACAGGCAGCAGAAGGGAGGGCAGATTTCAAACCTAATCACCAGGTTCCAAAGAGATGGAGGCAGAACTTAAACCCCAGTGCATTAGGCTCTCGCTTTTAGTAACGGTGTAAAAGATAGGATAAATGTGTACAAAAAGAGTACACATTTTCTTTTTCTTTCCCATAAGGGTAAGATTCAAAATATAAGTTTTTAAAGAAAAAAAAAGACAGAAAAGTAGGGGAAGAAAAAGACAAAGAGGCTTGAGACCATGGCTTTTATGAGAATGGTTTTGTTCCATTTTGAAGTGGAAAGTCCCCTGAGGGACTCAAAATGGAAAGGGCACAGTTTTTACAGGGCAACACAGTCACGTCAGACCCCCTTCGGTCCAGTGAGGTATGTCTTGATCATCTGTGGTTTGTTTCTAACTTCAGTTCATAAACTGAGCCTGGTAAGACTTCACCTAGAAAGGAGGAGAAGTGTCTCAGGGAGTAGTTTTTTGGGGGGCTGGAGAGATAGCTTGGCAGGGAAGAGCACCAGCTGCTTTTTCAAAGGACCCTGGTTAGGCTCCAGCACCCACATATCCCTCTGTCATTCCGGTTCCAGCAGGGTTTCATGCCCTCTTCTGGCCTCCATGAGTGATGAATGCACATGATCTACAGACATGTGTCCAGGCAAAACATACACATGAAGCAAATAAGCGTGTGTGTGTGTGTGTGCGTGTGTGTGTGTGTGTGTGTGTGTGTGTGTGTGTGATTGATGGCCTGCCAGGGCATGTGTGCAGACGATAATTTGCAGGAGTCAGTTTTCTCATCCTACCATGTAATTCCTGAACTCAGACTTAGAGGCCAACACCTTCATCTATGGAGCCATCTGGCCAATCTTCAGTATTTCTGTGTGTGTAGCAATATCATTTTTTTTTTAGGAGGAGGGGTTTAAACGCAAAATACTTTAAAATTAATTACATCTTTTTTTTAAACACTACTTCTAGAAAACATAAATGATTTGTGGGCCTTATTGCCATGTTTCTATTGGCTGGGCAGAACAAGGGCAATGTGTTGGTTCTTGCTTGAATAATGAAATTAATGACAACATGTTCACCGGATTGGGAAAGACAAGGCAAAAGCATGTCTAAGGATGAAAATAAAGCCTGTGGTCTGATGAGCAAAGTCAGACATGCTTGTAGGATATTCAAGCAGAGGCAGGTCAAACAGAGCTGTGAGCCTGGGGGGCTTTGCCATGCAGAGGGCAGCTGAGTTGTCCCTAAGGGGACTCTAGAAAGCCTATATTTAGGAAAATCCCACTCAGCACTCAAGATCAAACCCTCAAACCTCCATTCAGAAGACAGAGAGCAAGGCCAAATGTTTCAGAAACCACACAATCTTTCCATGTTCGGTCATCAATATAGGGAAAGAACTATGAGTTTATACATTTTTTATGTCAAAGCATTTGTTTGTAGAATTCATGGTTTCAGTTTTTCTTGTGTATGAACCCCACTTTATTTCAATCCTCTCTTAGGGTCACTTTTTTTCTCCCCTTTTATATAAACAGCACAGTTAAGCCGCAGAAATCCCTGGAAAGCTTTCTTCATACGGAAAATGACAAAACTGAGCGTGATGAGCAAGTGCCATAAATAAATCTTAGCAAATCCCTACACATCCAACATCAAGAGAAGAGAGAAGCCTCTTTGAGATCCAGTGTGGTAATCTCTGTGGCAGCCGTCTGCATGGGGCAAGGGGGAGACAATGGAAGGCTTTCACAGATTTTTTAAAACTCGTTTAATCTCAAACCGAATGTTTCCTGATAGGACTCTGACGAGTGGCACACAGCTGAGAGCTTACATTCTGTGCTCAGGTCCATCTGCATTACGGAATGTACTGCTGAGAGCCCCTGGCATGTGGCACACGCTTTGTAGCCTGTGTGTGTGTGTGTGTGTGTGTGTGTGTGTGTGTTAGTGCCTCTTTCCAACTCTGTGAAGAGCAACATGAAAGCATAGACTATCACTGTTTTTGCTCAATTTTTTTCTCAAGTTCATAGCTATTCCTACAGTTGTTAACATTTTTAATACAATCAGATATTGAAGAAGTTTCTGGTTTCTTTGGAGACTCGGTTTTGTCACGTGATGTTTTGCTGGAGGCTGGCTTTTGAGAGGGCACGTGCTATTTTGCTGTGAGTTCTCTCATGTGAGGGGCGTGACTTTGGCCAGCTGAGAACATCCGTGGGTGAACTTTGAGGAGAGGAGATATATAGAGGCCCACGCACAGTGAGACATAGCTTTTTGAATTGACATTGCTGCACTGATCTTTGTGCTCTGACACTTGACTTTGAAGAGAGAAATGTTACTGAGAACTTCTCGGGGCAATCCAACTGAGTCACTGACTTGTCGTGTTGAAGCATGTTGCAGCTTGGTGTTGGCCTTTGGACTGGTATCCTGACGACTGAGTTTGGTAATCCCCTAAGGACACGTCCACCCTAATCAGCAGGAAGTAGATAAAAGAGGACTATAGTCCTTTTCCCTACTAACCTCCTATCTAAGGTTCGGGGGTTGGAACCCTAAATAAAGTAGGTTTGGTGAAAAATCTAAGCCTACACCATACCCTCCCACACTTTCTCTGGTTAGTTTTAATGAAGCACAATGTCGTCATTAGCAACATTGTGTCAGAGCTTTCCCTGGGTCCCACCTTCGTTCTCATGGCACACACAGAGTTTTGTAGGCTTGTTCCCTTCACTTAGTGGTAGCAATTTCCTTTCTGTTGTTTCCATGTGGAGGGAACTCCCTCAAAGTAATACTTGCAGTTTCTTCATTTTTTTCTTAAACTTTTTTGAGATTTTATGTATTTTAATTTTATGTGTCTGGGTGTTTTGTCTGCATACGTCTGTGCACCACAGTGTGCAATGCCCAAAGAGGCCAGAAGGGGGCATCTTAGCTTGTGGCACTGGAGTTACAGTTTTCATGTAGCTGCTGGGAATGGAGCCCCCGCCCTCTGGAATAGTAGCCAGTACTCTCCACTGCTGAGCCATCTGTAGGCCCTTTTGACATTTTTCAGTCAATCCCCTTCAAAGGGGAGGAATCCACCCACAGCAATGGGTACTCAGCCTGTGGGTTTCGACCCCTGGGACCATCAGAAAACACAGATATTTACATCATGGTTCATAACAGTAGCAACAAGGATGATTTTATGGCTGGAGGAGACCACAACGTAAAGAACTGCCTTGCAGGTGGCAGCATTGGGAAGGCTGAGAACCACAGCTTTAGAGGTTTTGCTGTTAGCTTTTAACCTGTGTGCCTGAGCAGGCGTCAGTCTGTGGCAAGCCTGTGGGACTCTTCCTCTTATTGACAATGGCTTTGTCTACAGGTCAGCAGTGGCCATGTCTCTCCACCTAGGAGTAGGCACGGCTTCAGCTGTCTGCCTTGGAAGAATATCGAAACAGAATCCAAGATGTGCAAAGTAAACTCCAGTGCACTTTAGGTAGAGGCCTCTTGGATGGCTGCAAGCTGATACCTTTTCACAGCTGTTTCTCAGTTCTACCTGCTGCAAAGCAGGTTTTGCTGAGTTCCACGTGCAACCTTCTAACTTTAGTTTATCAGGCACAGGAAGACAGCATTATTTTTGATTGCCTCAGAATCCATGATTGACTTTTAGGGCAGAAGAGGGAATTAACAAGGCAACTTGCAACTGTACAATTTTGTATCTGAGAATTCACCCCTGGAGAAGGAACAGACTGACTGCAGTTGCTAACATAAACATGTGTGTAATGGAATACCGCATCTTCCTGGGGGAGAGAAAAAGTCACCAAAATACTGTGAAGACAAAGTCCTACCACTAGAATCAGGGATTGAAGGGGAAACTCCAGGGCTTCGAAAAACATACTTTCATTTAACAACCACATCAGGAATAAGGAAAGGCTGAAAACAAAATAACAAAGGCAAACCTGCTAAAACCTATAGGAAAGAAAGGCCTTCACAAGAGATAGGCTGACATCTTAGAAGACAGATCATGATAGACATGACATCTTTGAAGGTCAGAAGAGACCAAAATGAAACAAAGAAGATGGCCTTAAGTAAGTAAAGATACACCTGCTCCAAAAAGCAATGTTGGCAAAGTGAGAAAGGCCTTAAATTGTTGTTCCACTGGAAAAGTTGAGCAGGGCCTAAGAAATCTAACCTAGAACAGAAGGCAAGATCTCAGAAAGCCTGGAATCATTCCTCCAAAGGATGCCAGAATGCAGAAAAGTTCTGCAAACATTAAAAAAAACTGCGTGAGGGCCACACTCACCCATGTTCTGATGCTCTGGGTCAGCATAGAAGGTGCTAGAGTCACTGGTGGATGGATTTTATGTGGACACTCTGGGGAAAGCAACATGAAATGCTTCGCGGATTCAAGTGCCAGGGGCATGATAGGCATCATGCAAGAGCTTCTTGTTTTCGGAGGGTTTTGTCAAAGAATTCATGAGATTAGAACTTCAAGACAAGGCAGAGTTGGGACGCAGTCTGTGGACAGACGGGCAATGATGAAACTAGTCCCAGGCTCTGCACTTCCCTGACGGGAGACTGTCACCCACGCAGGTGGGACTCTCTAGGAGATATCTGCAACTTGTTTGAGAAGTCGCCGCCATGTGAGGAACTTCTATTTCTTAGCAGGGGGCTTCTCGCACGATGAGATCTTAAAGAGGTATCTTAGAAAACCAATTATTTTGGTTATAAACCTTAGAGAAAAATGCTTCCCAAATTTAGTTGACAGGGTTAAGCTCATGAGCATTAGAAAAAAAATCAAGGATTAAGTTAAACCCTGAAGAAGAAATTCACTCACATTTTCCTAATAGAGAAAGCTTTCACAGAGAGGTGGTCCTCAGCCTTCAATAGCCCCAGGGTCAAGGAGGCAGATTTTCCTTTTTTGTTATTTGAAAACACACGACTTCACATCTGTCTATTTGAAAACTGAGATTAAAAAAGTAGTTCACTAAATCTCCACAGTACTGTGTCAGGTGTAGAAGTTGAGTCTACGGGTGTGAGTTGGGATGTTTCTGTCCAGAGGGGCTCCAAGAGCAAAGCCCCATCTTCACTCCCTTTCTCCATTCTCTCAGCCACCTGATGTGTAAGAAAATGATGGCCTATGCCCTCACTCACCCTCTCTGGGTCTTGCTGCGTACGCAGGGCTCATTCAGCTCACGTCCTGTACAGGGCACATTACAGGCTTCTAGCTTTGGGGTGCAAGGGAGGCTGAGGTGTTAGAATGGGTGGGCTGTCCTCTCTCTTTGATGTAGCACTTCAGGTTGGGGTAGATTCTGAGCAATTTTCCTCAACAGCTTTATCATGGAAAAGGTGGCATCTTAATCTCCTCTCCAGTTAAACTCTCCAATTCATGCACCTGCCTCTGGCTTTGAAGTCATGCTGGATGAGGAACGGTATTCCTTGCTCTGAGCCCTTAATTTCTGGGGGACTTCTAAACTTGCTTGTCAGATTTGATGGAGAGTGTTGGCAAAGCTCCGGATTCCATCTGCTGGGACTCACTTTCCAGCTCCATCATTAACTATCTATACATACTGGAGAGATTAACTGTCCCCAGCCCCAAATACCTCCGAACATTTCATTTATAAATTGGGGACAGGCTGGTAAGATGGCTCAGTGGGTAAAGGCTCTGCCAAGGGTGATGACCTGAGTTTGAGCCCCTTGACCAACATGGTGGGAAAAGGGAACCTGCTTCTGAAAGTTGTCCTCTAACCTCCACTCGCTCACTGTGATATAGATGCATGAATGTACACATATGTATGTATGTGTGTTATATACATACACACACATATATACACATACATACAAACACACACTCAAATAAATAAAAGTAATACTTTAAGAAAGAGCCTAATTCTGTGGGAGGCTGACACAGGTGGATGGCTATGAGTTCGAGGCCAGCCTACAAAGTGAGTTCCAGGACAGCCAAGGCTACACAGAGAAACCCTGTCCTGTAAAACCAACCAACTAACCAATCAATCAAACAAACAAACAAACAAACACACAAACACATTTTTCCTTGTTTTAAATGCTTCTATTAGAAAAATATGAAATAAGACAGTAAGACAAATTCTCCACCAGGAGAATGACAATGTTTTAGAGCTGCTAAGATGGAGTCCCAGCTCACATCACAAAATGTCTTCTGGAGGCTGAATGGCCTCACACTCAGCCTAATATGGTGAGCACATGCATCTCATACAGCCAGGCTTTACTCTTGGCCCAGGGCATAAAACATAGAAACACAATCCCTTCCGAGAATTCGCCATCTCATGGGACCATGAGCAGCACTCCCAGAGCTCCAGTGTTCCTCTCTATGGGTTCCCATTAAGTTCCAAGAAAGCACGGAGCTCTGTCATGGAGACATTAGGGCTTGGGGGCTGCGTCTTGTGCACTCTGTATGTGCTCTTCTGAACCATTTATTTAACAAAATCAATGTGTCTGTGCCCCACGTGTGCAGGTGCGAGAGGAGCCATTCTATATATGTGAGTTAGTAGTACACACATCTATGCTCAAAAAAGAAATCAAGGTACATTGACTCAGAGAGTCAATATGCTTTTAATCCAGCTAAAACAAAAGTGGAGTGAAGACAGACGGAGAAACGTGAGAGCGTGTGCCTATGTGAACCCTAGCTGTACACTCAGCGGGTTCATGTCCTGAACTGATCTTTTTAGCTGTGAGCACTGACAAGAGTGAGGAGTTTTTCCCCACCCCAACAGTTACTTTATCTGAGTCCCACCTATTACAACAGTAATTTGCTCAAAAATTATTGGAATAAATGAGTTCATCAACATAAAGTATTCATAAATAGTCCAAATAAGTGTTCCATTCATTTTTATCTAAAAAATATAAAAGTCCTCAAAACCTTAAACATAAGAAGCTGGTATT